ATGGTTGTTGCCACAGCGGAAAAACAATCTGGACAGGGATCATAATCCACGAGTGGCAAATACTCACTTGGAGCAGCAATAGCCACCACAAACGAACGTTTGAATGGTGATCGATGCACTTGTTTCGTAGAATGTACCTCCACTTACCACGTCGCTTGTCAACTGGGAGACTGGGAGACTGGGAGTCTGGAGGATCTACTTGTGTCGGAACAACGAGACTTCGCTTCTTCCCGGGTGTTGGGTTTTCTGTTAGACTTTTTCTAGTGGAAGCCCTCGCACTCAGTTCCCCATTTATCGTCAGCACCCTCGTTAGGGTACTTGTTAGTGCTGACGTCCCTGCCGAAATTCCAGCCGAAATTGACGAACTCCGCTTATTAATCTTAATACTCTCAGAGCCCCTCGGGGAGATAATAGTGTTGAGAACGTAGTTATAGGTGCCGTGCATGTGGTTCAAGGTCGATTCGACATGCGCTGCGATCAAAGCAGCACAATCCGGATACCCGTCGAGAACTCTATCGCAATGGAACCGGGACAGTTTGTACAAAATTGAATACGTCGTCGACAAGACCGCCGCAGTCCGTTTGATAGATGAGAAGACCGAGAGCTCTCCGAAGCAAGCGCCTTTACGGATTTCGCGTACCGTCACAGACTTGATAATGACTGCGAGCACTCCCGAGTGAACGATATACATGGCATCGCCGTCGTCGCCTGCAGAGAATAAAATCGTTTGCGCAGGCACCGCGATCATTTCCAGCAAACTCGTCATTGCGACAATGAAGAGATCAGAACAACCGTCAAAAATCGGAATCTGGGCGAAAGTTGTCTTCAGAAGCTCCACTTGGATGTCGTTTGCAATAGATCGGCACAGTCTTTTCGCTGCTTCTCGATCATTCGACTCTGCGTCCGTGTAGTAGCGCTGCAGGAAATGACAGGGAAAAATTAGAAAATCTACAAGAAAAAATGCATGAAAAACAGTTTACAAACTCGAAGATACTCAATCGCTTGTGCTTGTTGACTTTCTGGAACTCGATGAAAGGAGAGAAGGTGAATGAGCTGGTTGATCCGAGCTTCCACCGCTTCCGAATGCCCACTTTCGCACTTGGAAATGACGAAAATCGTAGCGACGAGAGTAGTGAACATGGAAAACCCGCACAGTGCAACCAAAGTCGTAAAAAGGAACTCGCTGCTGTGGCGCGGTAATTCTCCTTCGAAGAGGCCAGTCATGATGCCGACACTCCAGAAGAGCGAGCCCAAGTACTGAGTGTGGAGAGGGTGGTGACTTTCCTCATCCGACGGCAGCCAGTGGTTTGTATGGTGCTTATTGTAGCCGAAACTGTAGCGGATACATGCCAACATGTGTGCCATGTATACCATGGATAGCAAAACTTTAAACAGTTTTAGCGTGACGAAATATTTTGCATACAACTCGTCCAGACTCGTCACGAACTGGTTGAGCCGCCAACATCGCGCATACTTAAGTAACGAGAGCCTTGTCAATACATATGGGCTGTGAAGCGCGCAGACTTGCCACGGTAAGATTGCTACCAGGTCGATAGCAAAACGGTACGAGCGGAAATATCGTCTTCGGGTTAATTTCTTGTCGCGAATGAGGTTCCCGTCTTCATAGTATCCTGTACTTGCTTGTACGTAGCAGTCAATAAAGAACATCACTTCGCACACGACGGCTAGCGCAAATTTCAAATTCATTCCGCCAACTGCTTCTGGTTGGAATGCGAGAAAATACGGAACTACGAATCCTTCGTAGAGCAAACAAAGTAGGAGAATGTGTTCCCACGCCTTGATGACTAGACAACTTGGGTCAAAAGCGTCCGTAGTCTCTTCATTCAGCAACAGTTTGTCTCGATTCTCCAGTGAAAGTGCATCAGTGCCTTGCTGGGATGCTCGCCGACCAGCTGACGCACCGATCATTGATCGTGGTCGGCCTTGGGATAAAACACTATTACCCTCCACCCGCCTCACTGTATACCCGCTGATCATGCTCATGCTTTCTCTATTGACCTGGTTAATGCTCTACCATGCAGATTCTTCTAGTCCAGGTGACCGTACACCCTCCAGTTTTGTGTCGTTCCTCACTGACACAGTACCCCCACTGTCTAGGAGTCTGGAACCGACTTCCCTCTATCTTGGGATAAACCAGCGTCCATTTTAACCCTTTCGCGGTGCATTTTTCGCCCTTTAGCACCATTACCAAAACAAGGTGGAAAATGGGCTTGTAAAAGGGCAAATTTTGCGCCCTTTTAGCTTTTCCTCCAACTCTGCCTACCGTGTTTCATAACTACCATACGCGCAGAGTGAATAGAAAGAGGTTGGGGGGTAATTTTAAATCGTCTGCTCATCGCACAGTATTTTATTGCTCCAACGACCGTAATCGGCCCTTTCTACGCAGTCGTGCCATGGATCTTGTAACGGGGTACGTAGCCCTAAGTGTACCCTGGTTACATGAAGTGTGACACTTCACACTTCAGGAGTATGACACGTCATACTCCGGGATATTTGGTACAAGGTACCAAGGTCGTTCAAAGCCACCCATTGGTTAAACGACATTGCATTTCTATAGGTAACTTATAGTTTATATTAAACCCAAACTTAACCTACCTATAAATATACTCAGTTTACAATCTACCTTATTTGGGTCACTTCGCTCTCTTTAACTAAAGAGGGGACCTGTGAACTGCCGTTCACTGAGAGTTTGTATACTCTCGGAAGATAACTTCCTCTAGCGCAAGGTGCTGTGTGACCCCGTCACACTTGGTAGCACTTGTAGTCAATCCACGCCACCGCGGGTAGACTGCCTGAACCTCTCCGAAGTTCGTTGCCATGGATAGGAACGACTTCTCCCATATGAACGACTCTCAGTTCGAGTCGGTTCGGAAGATGACTGGCATCTTCGGGATGGAAGCCCTGCAGAGCCTGGTGGTGTCAACACCGGCTGAGCAGCTCGAGCGCGTCAATGCATTCGACGCGTACGAGCAGGGCCTCATCGCGCATGTGCGGGAGAACCTGCAGGCTCCGGCGGCGGAAGCAAATCCGCCTCACCCGAAGCCAATACGGCTGAAGGCTAAGCCGTATGAAGGGAAGGAAGGCGAGAACCTTCACTTCTGGGTCCGAGAAGTAGAGCTCGCGATGGACGCGGCTCTGATCTCGACCGAGCAACTGCGTGTTGCTTTTGCACTCTCCAACCTTAGCGGCCGTGCTAAGAGTTGGGTGTACACACGGGAAGCAACCTCCCCTGGATGTTTCACATCCTGGGCTCAGCTGTGCGAACAGCTTCGAGCCGCGTTCCTCCCGGCGAACTACGAGTACCGCCAGCGTTCGCGCTTCCTCGCGTGTAAACAAGGAAGGCGCGAGCTGCACGAGTATGTGCAAGAGATACGGGAGCTCACGGCGTCCCTAGTGGGAAACCCACTCAACGAACACATCAAGATGACTGTGTTCATGGACGGCCTTCGAGTGGGCCCCGCACGCACTCAGCTGTTCCGGGTGCAGTCAAGCACCCTTGAAGAGGCGATTCAAGTGGCTCTTCAAGAAGAGTACAGCCATCGCCAGGCGCGTACGCCGGCCTCAGCGTGGCCTGGGAGTTCCTTGTCGGCTCCCGGTCGAACAAGCCCCAACGGACCAGTTCCCATGGAACTCAGGTCCACCGAACAGCGTGACATCCGCTGCTTTGGCTGTGGAAAGATGGGCCACTTCAAGCGCGACTGTCCTGCGGAAAGACTCCGCAGACGGTCCTTCCCCAAGCCCGTCCTCAAGGGTCGCTGGCAGAAGCCAGGATCCCGGGCACAGGGGAACGCCGGGAACCAGTAGGGGCGGGGCGCCCTACTGGGGAAGAACTAAGTCTTCGTGATGGGTGCGCAGGTGGCGCGTACCACGGGGACTTAGCCCCTGAGAGTCTTCGCACTCTCGAATCGGCGAAGAGCAGCGGCGGGTTGCTCGAAGTACACGGATGTGTACGGGGATACGATCATCCCTTTAGAATCTTGATCGACTCTGGGGCGTCGAAGAATTTCGCACGCCGCCAGACGGTTGCTCGTAACAGCAACAAGTTGTCCGATGCTTTGAGAGAAAGCAAGGGCAACGGGACGGTGTCAGTGCGACTGGCCGACGGGAAGGTCGTCACTGTCCCCAACGTCCAAGTGGATCTGGCCGTCAAGTTTGAAGACTTTGACAGCCTCGAACAGTTCACTGTTCTCGATATGGATCCATTTGATATGATCCTGGGCATGCCCTGGCTTGAGAAGCACGAGCCCTGGATCGACTGGTGAGGCAAGGCAATCGGTGCCAGCCGCCCTGCGCAGTCCGATAGAGCATTGGTGAGTCATGTTCCCACCTCTGTCAGGACCCGGGACGCCCGCAAGGGCTGCCAGGGTACCAAAGCATCCGGCAGGTGCTTGGAAGTCGTCGACGTATTTGACGACTCCGAGGATGTTTTGATGGTGGCCGCGCCCAGAAAAGGCGCTGGCCAAGTGGGTAACTTAGGTCCACAGGCGGGTAAAATAGTTCCGCAGACAGCTGCAGCTGTCATAAACACTGAGAACAGCGTGTTCAGAGGGGGTAACAGAGTTCCACTCACGGTCGCCCAGACCTCAGCTGAAGAGGAAGACGTCGGATACGCTTCCTGTGTGGGTAACACAGTGCCACACGCGGTCGCCCAGACCTTAACTGAAGAGGAAGGCGTTGAACACGCTTCCTGTGTGGGTAACACAGTGCCACACGCGGTCGTCCAGAACTTAACTGAAGAGGAAGGCGTTGAACACGCTTCCTGTGTGGGTACCACAGTACCACACGTGGCCACGAGTGCCTCGGATGTCGTAGCGACGACATCCCTAAACGTGGGCAGCAGAGCTCCCCGTCACAGCCGCCGTCGGCAACGACGCCGCCGCCGCCTCAAGTCGGATCCGAACTTCGATTTGATCGACGTCGCTTCAAGCGACTCGGAGTCCAGGGCCCGGGCTCCTCCGACAAGGCCGACGGAAGAGTGTTATCACATCTTCGATGGCGAGACCGGCTTACCCGTAAAGGCATCTGGTGTCCACTTGGAACCGTTGCCAGAGGTTGCAGAGATACTGCACCTCGAGGAAATGACGGCTGAGTCTTTCCTGACCAACCTCAAGGCTGGAGAGATTGCTGAGATGGTACTCATGTGACCTGAGACCACTCAGGAGGAGCTGAACTCCTCCTCTGTCTTGGACGAGAACGTCCTAGAAGACATGAACAAGCAGCGTCAGGCGCGCTTGGGTTCTGAGATTCTCAAGAACCCCAAGGAGCCAGTGTATTCTTTGGTGACGGAGTATGCGGACGTGGTGAGCAAACACCCACCGACCCAGCTCCCACCGGATCGAGGCGTACGGCACGAGATTGATCTCGTGCCCGGCACAAAGTATTGTGTCACGAGGCAATGGCCTCTCCCGCGCGAACAGTGCGAGGTCATTGATGCCTTCTTCGCCGCGAAAGCGAAGGCAGGCATGGTGCGGGAGTCGAAATCCCCGCACTCGACGCCGACTTTCTGCGTTCGTAAGCCGAACGGAAAGTGGCGTCTGGCTCACGCTTATAACAAGCTGAACAACGCAACGGTGCCGGCCCAAACACCAATCCCACGAAAGGATGTGTTGTTGAACAACATGGCCGGGAGCGTACTGTGCAGTGCGCTGGATTTGGTAGACGGATACTACCAAATCCTGATGCGAGAGAGCGACATCCCGCTCACCGCGGTAAGCACTCCAAGCGGCATGCTTTGGGAGTAGCTCGTCATGCTGCAGGGCTTGTCTAACGCCCCGGCGACGTTCAATCGCCTGGTGACGCAATTGTTCCGCCCTTTCCGTACCTTCGTACAGACGTACTTCGACGACATATTCGTCCATAGCCGTGCCGAGGAAGGCAAGACGGCCATGGAGGTGCATCTAGGACACCTCCGTCGAGTGTTGGACGTAATGCGAGCGAACAAGCTCTACGCCAACATCGACAAGTGCGTTTTCGCGTCACCAGAGATTAAAGTTCTCGGTTGCTTCGTAAGCAACGTGGGCGTTCGGGCTGACCCAGACAAGGTCAAGGCCATAGCAGCATGGCCGACGCCCCGATCCCAGAAGGATCTTCGAAAGTGGTTGGGCTTGGCCAACTACCTTCACAAGTACAGCGCAGGGTACGCGGGCTTCGCTAAGCCCTTGTCAACCTCCTTCAGAAGGACGTCGACTGGCGCTGGGAGCAAGAGCACCAGGATGCTTTTGACAGCATCAAGGCCAGTCTCCAAGCGGCCCCTGTCCTGGCCCTGCCGGACGAGACGAAGCCGTTTAGCGTCGTCTGCGATGCCTCCGATTACGCCACCGGATGTGCATTGCTGCAGGCCGGCACGGCTGGACACGAACGAGTCATCTCGTTCCAGTCCAGGCAGCTCAAAGCCGCCGAGCGGAACTACCCTGTCCACGACAAGGAGCTCCTGGCAATGAAATATGCCCTTGTGAAGTTCCGTGTTCACCTTCTGGGCTCTAGGCCCTTTGTGATCTACACAGACCACGCGTCCTTGAGGACGGCGACTAACTCGCCTCACCTCTCCCAAAGGATGGCGAGGTGGCTGTCCTTCTTCGCGGAATACAACTTCCGCGTCGAATACAAGCCGGGCAAGCTCAACGTGCTTGCGGACGCCCTCTCTCGGCGTCCCGACTATGAGTTGGCCCACATCACGCGGGTGACAACGGATCTATGTGATCGGATACGCATGGCGTATCGGGACGATGAGGCTGTCGCGCCTATCGTCAAGTTCCTTATGGCCGGAACGAGCGCGAAGTCCGACTGGCTCTCGTTGCGACAGCGCTCACGGCTCCACCGATATGAGTTGAAGGAGGGCCTCCTCTATTACCGGGTGGAGCCAACTGATCCTCCACGAGCGGTCGTACTCAACGACGAGGATCTAAAGTTCGACATTCT